AAGTGTATTGCCTGCATGTATGTGAGTGCACCCATGTCATGCAATGCCGCAGAGGTCAGAAGAGGGCTTTGGATTCTCCTGGAACTGGAGTTAAGGATGGTTCATAGCTGCCATGTGGGTGCTGGGAATTGAACCCAGGTCCTCTGCAAGAGCAGTCAGTGCTCTTAACCGCTGAGCCAACTCTCCAGCCCCTAAGGTAAGTTTTTTTAATGACACAGAAATATATATCACACTCCCTAAGGGAAGCATCGTGATTATTAAGGCCTTTCTTCAAAGTTGTGAAGATTTGGAGTTTCTTCTAAAAAGGTTTTGAGCAGGGACAAGAGGCAGGTGGAGCATCAGTCTGAAGTTTGGTTGAAGAAGACCATGAATCTGTGGCAACTTCCATCTGAGCTATGGGACAATGCTGTTTCTCTCCCTGTTAAGAAATTGAATACAGGAGGAGAAATGCAGGCTGGGGCTTTCATTCAGGACTACAGCTTGGCGTCATAGACTCAGTGAAGGCCCAGGAATGCACGACAACTAAGGATGCCAGGGAAACTGCCTTCAAGGAGCCACAGGAGTAGAGGCTCAAGAAGCTAACAATAATCCTTTTGCCTTCTTGTTTACCCCAAAAAAGTTCAAGAGGAAAAAATATCCTCAGAAGAAATTATGTATGTCTTCTAATCATTATTATTTAACTAGACAAGACCCTGTTTTCATTTTTGCTCCAATCTGCAATTATGGAAAACAATCCATTTAGCTTTAATTGTGTTCTTTTTACCCTGGGGTTGTAGATCAGCTTAAAGTTTTTGAAACCCCCAAATCATTGGATGACCACCCCCCATAGTAATCAGGCATTTCCTGGGGGACCTGTGGGGCAGCAAGGGTTTTGTGAACTCTTAGCAAAGAAGAGGTCGATGCGTACCCAGACCTGCAGAGGCAAGGCCTTCCAATGCTAGGTAGAAATGCCAAGAAAGAATGGGGCATCACTTCACAAGCTAGCAGTTGGAACATAAGGTGGGAAATGAATCTATGAGCCCCCCAAATTAAAGTGGGATGAGAAAGACAGGGATTATTTCTAAGGAAATAGGCTGTGGTGTAATAGAAGTCAGTGGGTTGGATGGGAAATGACAGAACACAGTGAGCTAGGTGCTGAATCAGTACAACCATCTGTCTGGGCTGCGGGCAGCACACGAGCAATAATTATTTCTTCTCTCTGGCTGGGGCAGCTCCCTCAGTGCAGATGACAAAGGATGGGCACACTGCTCTCTATCTATATGACTGTCATTTCCTTGGGGCCCCAAGGAGCTCCAGGCATGCACTTTGGCTCCCCTGACAGATGTTTTAGAAACATCCCTGATATTTGTCCTCTTTGATGTCCAATGAAGACACACAGATAGCCTCGGTAGTATCCTGACTTTGGACAAAAGATCACTGAACAAAAGGTCACAAGGATATGCTGTTAAAGGAAGTAAAAGACTTTGTAAGGCATAGCATAGTCTGCAAAGATTTCCTCTTGTTATCATATTTGATCTTCATAAAAAGCCATATGCTCTTAGTCTTTCTAAAGATAACTCCTATTTCTTCATTTGAAGGTATACTTTTTCATTATATTAATTTGATTGTATTTCTCTATTGCTTTCTTTGGTTTTCAAATGTCATTTTAATTTCAACTTCCTACTCCTAAAACTTTCAATGATTTTTTTAGAATTAAACATAATCCCTCATGCAATGCTTTTCACGCACAGGCTCAGCCTAACCTTCCAACAGCCTCTCATACCTGCCTTGGAAACATTTCTTCACCCTGTTCTCTGTTCTGCATCCAGTCCTACCCTCTTCCTTCCTCTTCTTACCTTGCTCTTCTCCCAAGTCTCCATCTTAAACATCAATCAGCTGTGAAAGAGTCACTTAGCTCTGACCTAATCAATAAAACCCTTCTGCTAACACCTTCAAATCAAGTACGATCTTTTCCCTTTCAAGGTTCTCAATATAGCTAATAACTTTCTTTTAAAATATACCATAACAGTATCTTAGTGAAGTCTCTTGCCATACGTTTTTAAAGGCTATGACTTTTCCCTTTTTAATTCAAAACCTAGAAAAAGCAACATTTCTGATGTGAATTCTTCTCCATTGGCAGTTAATAATTCTCTTCCTATCATGTTCTATGTGTGTATAATGTGTATGTGTGTATATGTGCCCACGTATGTGTATATTTGTGTGTGTGTATGTGTGTTTGTATGTGTGTGTGTAGCTCAGAGGTAGACATCAAGCGTCTTCATCAATCATTTTCACCTTATTTTTTTGGGACAAGGTCTCTCACCTAACCTGGAGCTCACCAATTCAGCTAGAGGGTCTGGCCAGTGAGCTCCAAGGATCCATCTGTCTTTGCCTCTCCAACAGTAGAATTATATGTATGACCTACCATGGCCATTTTATAAAGGTACTGGGGGGACCTGAACTCAGGTCTTCGTGCTTCCATGACAAATACTTTCACCAAGCATGTCCTCAGCCCCAAATCATGCATTTTATCATATTTTTAAAAGTTACCTATTATTATTGTGTGGGTTTGTGGGTGCATATGTGAGTGCCATGGTATGTGTTGGAGGTCAGAGGACAACCTCTTAGACTTAGTTCTTTCCTTTCATCTTTATGTGGGTTCTGAGGGTCAAATTCAGGTCATCAGGACCTTTAGCCACTGTGCTACCTTGCCAGCCCCCCTTTTTTGTTGTTTGTTGGTTGTTTGAGGCAGGGTCTCCCTGTAGCCCCAGCTGGTCTGGAACTTACTATGTAGATCAAGCTGGCGTTGATCTCACAGAGATCTGCCTGCCTCTGCCTCCTGAGTTCTGGGTTAAAGGTATTCACCACCACACCCAGCTCTTAGCAGCCCCATTTTTAATAGGTGCTCATTGGTCTCTGCTGAAATGATTGGTTTTGATTTACCTTGAAGGAAGAGACCATTGTGGCCAGCATTCAGCTCAAATCTCAGCCCTGCTACTTACTAGTAAGTGTGACTGTGGGTAAGTTACTTAACCTCACTGTGTTTCAGCTTCCTTATTTCTAAAGTGGAGATAATAATGGGACCTATCTTAGAGAGTCCCTGAGGGGATTAAATGAGTTTATACACATAAAATGCCTATTGGATCATATGCCAGCATAATTTCTATACTATGTCATCTTTGTAATTTTATTGATAAGAACAATACTTTAAGTACGACTGTGACAGCTGTTTGTTGAATAAATTAGCCAGGAAAGGCTTGTCTGATGGTTTTTTATGAGTCTAAATTAAAAAATGGAGACTGTCCTTCATCATAGCTTTCTCACAGCAAATTAACATTTGGGTTATAATAGGTGATCGATGAACATTTATAGAGTTGTGCAAATATTAATCCAAGGACTGGGAGATTGAGCACAATACAAATAAATTATGCAGTGAATTATGTTCATATCAAATCAATGACCACACACGATTGTGCATGAAGGTTGAGAGACACTGTTCCCTTTGTTTTAAAGCTCCCTGTTGGGAAGATTACTTAATGTGCATAGTTGTTTTCCTGAACTCTTACGCTCCAATAGCACCCAGCAAACCTACAAAACAGGTATGAGTGGGGATGGTGGAGGGAGCTGGGGTATGTAGAACACTGACACAGATTCCATAAAGCCCGAGGTGGAATTCTGACCCTAGACCCTGTTGTCAATCTGAAAGGTGCAGAGATGTGCACTAGCTTTGTACTGGTTTGAGACTGCACAGACTTTGAGTCCCTGAGGCAAGCCCCCTGCAAACTGAGGCTTTGGCTGCCCTTGCTGAGTCAACCAAGGCTTTCAAAAAGGCAGACTGTAAAAAGAAGGAAAGGCCTTTTTGGCCAATGAATCAGGCAGGTATGGGCCTGTTTCACAGTCCAGCAGGCATGCATGCTCCTGTCAGGGTCCACACTGCAGAAAACGCAGCGGCCTGTTTGTTCAGCTGGAAGTGCTTACACTGGCTTCTTCCCCTCTACCCCGCTTTGTCACTCAACTCCCCTTATTCTGTATTGGAGAGGCTTTCTTCACCCCCATCCCCCGCCCTCTGCTTTTTAAAGTAACACCAGTGGAACAGCTAATGAGGCGATGGAAAGCAAGCTGGTCCCTTCAGGGTTGCTAATGACTCCATGCCTGGGAGCCTAATCAAAGATTTGTACATTTAATTGCTGTCAAGTCAGCGCCAACCACCTGCCATTTCTGTAGCACCTGAGCTCCCAGCTCAGTAGGCCCTGGTTCTAAATGAATCCATCACTGTTTCTAAAGACCTGAAAGTCAGGCTGCTGGGCAACCTTGAACCGGGTTCATCTGAGAAAGCAGAGACCAAGGGGCCTGTCGGAGGGATGTCACCTGAAGACACTGCTCTCTTCTTGGGTGTCACTTCTGCTTCTCTAGGGAAAGGGAAAGGTGTGTGAGGGTGGGATGTGGGAAAGGGAGAGAGGAGGGGAGAAGTAACATTGGGCCATATCCTTCAGAATCCACTGGTGTTTTCATTCTGAAGGATGACTTAATTTCTGACCTCAGACAAAAATTATAGCATGGATCTAGTTATAGCATGGATCAGTGCGTGCTGACACCCCTTCCGGTTAACACAGTGTTTGCTTTATCCCCAGTTCAGACTGGAGTTGCCTCCTGGATGCTTTTGGAGATGTGGGGAATGAAAACACATTGATCTGGACCAGAGTTTAACCTAATGGTTATTAGGCTAATGCTCTTATGGGTATGTATCAGTGGGGTAAGAAAATGATGATCAACTATTGTTCAAATTTCAGTAAAATACTTTAAACTTATATACTGAATTCTGACTTTGCCCTCCTTCCTTGTTGGAGGTATATCAGGGAAACCTAACACATCTGAACTTTCTGGGTCTGTTCCTAGGATGGCTATTCCAAATATGAGCATTATATTAGTTACTTTTTGGTCACTGTGATAAAATACCAGGACCCAAGGAAACTTATTGAAGAAAGAATTTATTTTTGCTAATAGTTCCAGAAGGATAAGAATCCATCACGGCAGGGAGGCATGGCAACAGGAGGCAAGAAGAGAAATCTGAGAGATCGCATTTCAACCACCTACAGGAAGCGGACAGCAAACTGGAAGTGAGTCTATAAACACTCCAAGCACACCTACCAAGTGATGCACTTCCTCCAGCAAGGCTTCATGACCTCAAAGTTCTATAGCCTCCCCAAACAGTGCCAGCAACTGGAGACCAAGTGCTTAAATAGCATTTGCCTATAGGAGGCATGTTTCATTGTTTAACCACAACAAGCATGCAGTCAAATCACTAGGAGAATGTATTAAACAGATTCCTGGGCTCCAACCCCAAAGATCTTGATGCAGTTGGTCTAAAGTAGGATTAAATGATTTGTAAACCTCACAGGTTTCTGGCCTCTATCAGTCCCCCTGTGAGGCAGATGATGATCATAAATCCCCTGTGTTTCTGCACCCAGCTCAACACTGACAGGTGAATGCAATGTTATGTACTGAGGACTTGACCAGCTGTATCTGCCTCTGGGCCTGGAAATCTTATGCAGGAAGAAAAAGGATTGCTCTTTTTGCCCCCTCCCACATCACACGTAGGTTAAAGACACAACTCAAATTGAGCCAATGGCTGAGTGGGAGGAATTCTATGACCGCTATACAAACAACTTCCCTGTCCCAGAACCCCACTGAGTGAAAATATTTTGGAATTTGTTCCTCTGTAGTGTGAGCAACTACTGTGATTTTCCCAGGTTAGGGGTGTCCCAGGACCCTCGGTTCTACAAAATTGGCAGAGTCTTGGTCCAGTGCATCATAAAAGGCATATTGTAAATTTAGAGTTACAAATAAAAATAGAGGTTTTTCTATACCTCTACCAAAAAAAAAAAAAAAAAAAAAAAAAAAAAAAAAAAAAAGTTAGACTGAAATCTGTATGTGTGTCACCTCAGTTTTCCCCTGGCAAAGCATTTGCTCTAGGCAACCTTGGAACTGGACCTGTTTTTCACCATTTGCTAAAAACAAGGATGTTCTTTTTTTCTTTTTCTTTATGAACCAACTTTTCTAAGCCTACCCTGACTTGCAAAATAAGTTAGGAGTGATCAATACCTCTACCCTTTGTCAGAACCTATTGGTTCTGCATGGCCTTGACTTGAATTTCTAGCATGATAATTTAGGACCAGCTAGTTGGTCTGACGATGATATTGTAGTGACTGGCTATGTCCTAAAGCTTTCAATTAATTGTTGTTTTTGTGTATTTCTCTGTCTTTCTTCACTCTCCATAGTTGTCACCCTGTTCCAGACAAATGCACACTTGCTTTGGTTTCCTCTTTACTGCTTAGTCTATTTATATCAGGGGACCCTGGAAAATGTGCACGATAACCTTACTTGAAAGCTAAATTAACTCCGAAGAGCAAATGCCATATGATCTGCCAATCAGATGGGAAGATATTGTTAATTGTTACTCACTTACAGTCTAAATCTTTTTCCAGACTGCTTGAAATCACAGAAATGAGGGATATTTTCCTTTTATTTACCCTTGGGAATTTAGATCTGAATACATCTATGACCTGGGAAAAGAGAACAAAAGAATAAATGCTATTAGCTTGATAAGACCAAGATGACAAATCAGTACAGTGGAGGAAGATGTGTATTTTCCGGCAAAAACTCAACTGTTAGCCTTCTAGACAGAAGAGCCCATCCTCTTCCGGTTCAGAATTCTCCAGAGTAAAATTGTCCCAAAGAGACTTCTAGCTATACATTCCTTTGAATGACATCCTGTGGATAGTGTAAGAGATGTCTCTCTGTCTCTGCTCACCTTGAAGGCTAAGTGGAAGCACCATTTTTCTGGAAATACCTTCCCCGGCCAGAGCACCTTCCAGCTGCTGGGGCTGATTTCCTCACGCCCACCTGTGTCACAATGACATGGTACCCTGTGTTAGCTTACATGACACAGCCTTGGGGTTACTTGTGTATGCGTTTGCTTCCCAAATTAACTGCAAAGACTTAAAGGCCAGGCTCCAGAGCGTAGTCACAGAGGCGCCTTCCTGCTTTACACAGAGCCTGGACCCAGGTAATATACTCAATAAAGATTTCTTGATTGAGCCACTTCAAATGAAGCAGTTTCAGATATGCTAAGTTCAATAATGGCCTGTCATTTCTGTAGAATTAATTGTGATTTTAAATACTGTAGAGCTGATTTGTACCAAAGATGGGAACCTTTTGCCAGTGAGTGATGAGGAAAGTTGAGGTTTGTACAAAAAAGCAAGTGTGTGAGGGTGGATGAGATACAATTGTCAGATTATAGGGAAGCCATGGGGCAGATGCCATTTCTGACCTTTCTCTCTCTCTGACACATGGCCTAACTAAGAAGGGGAACTGAGCATGCTCTGTAATGCGAATACACACGGCATGTGCTCCACTTCCTCTTGTTCCCTCTACATTCACTAACTCTGCATTCCGTATTCCCAGGCCTCAGTTTCACCCTGCGGGCACTGTGGAACATTGGAAAGTGTTCAAGCAGGGCAGTGTTGTGAAGATGCAATATGTTTTGTGTAACTATCCCAGAACCACACAGGACTCTCAGGCAGTATGCCATAAAGAGAAGAGAGAGTCTAGCCAGGATATGTCACTCCCTCTACATTCACTAACTCTGCATTCCGTATTCCCAGGCCTCAGTTTCGCCCTGCAGGCACTGTGGAACATTGGAAAGTGTTCAAGCAGGGCAGTGTTGTGAAGATGCAATATGTTTTGTGTAACTATCCCAGAACCACACAGGACTCTCAGGCAGTATGCCATAAAGAGAAGAGAGAGTCTAGCCAGGATATGTCACTTATCAGCCATCACTGCGAGAATTTCCCTGCTGTAAACTTCCTGACGTTCTGACCCTGCTGGTCTGAAAATTTCCAAGACTGTTCCTATGCCAACCCAAAACATTACATGACCTATGCCTCTTGAGCAGTGGGGTCTGTGGTACCGGGAGGATGTACGTGACATTTTGATTAACTGCTCATTCTTTCATGTGGGAGAATCTAGTGATTTCATTTCTAGCAGCAGAATTCTGTGAGATCTAGAGGTACTGGTATAGATGCCCAACTTTTATGTGCCTTCACTTTCTCACTTAGGAGTGTGCTGTTCAAACACTTCTGAATGCCCAGCACACTTGAGAAGAGTCAGCAATTCATCTAAAAACTCCCAATAGCTAGGTAATCTCATGGTGTGATCCACACACTCCAATGCCTTTCTGAAGCACCCCACTGTGAATTAGATGCTTGGTTTTATCTCACCTAGCCCAACTGCTCTGGAAAAAACCCCTGCCAGCTGCTCGGTTTCTTTTTCAGAACTTTACCCCAGTGTTCATCTTTGCAGGGAGAGAAGAGCTTCATCTGTCTCTAACTGTCATTGCATCTTGGCCACAGTCTCAACTGAGGGATGAGGAGCTTCCATGTCATTTAAATACCATGAACAGACTAACAAGGGCAACATCAAAAGGCTTACCTCCCAATTATAGAGTCCAATATTTGCTGCGATCTGGTCAGGTCACATCCCCCAACATCACCCTATTACCTATACATAGGGATGACAATCTCTGCCTTAGAAAGTTCTAGAAAGGTCATTGAGGGGAACATGGAACACTTAGGGGCTAGAAGCTCCTCATATCCCTTTGCACTCAGAACAATCAGATATCTGCCCTTTGTCCTAAAAGTGCCTTGAAGAATGTCCACCACAGCACCTGCTTAGTTTTCTCCTTTCTAACTATTGCCAGCCCAATCTATACCATTATGAGTTTTAGAGATTAAGTTTGAACTGCTGTTCCTCTAAGTGCTTACCCTGCTGGGTGATACAGCCCAACCCTGACCCACGGTCAATCATCAGTTTAATCATTCTCAATTGAAAACAGCTACCTGAATATTTGTAGGAGTTGCAGGTAATTATATCGTTTCAGTCATTTGGAATTTTTTCTTTATTTTACAAAATAAGAATTCTTTTTAGTAAGGCTTATTAATTCACATACACTAAAATTCATGCTTCTTAGTGTATAGATCTTTATGTTTTAGCAACTATATTCTTGCATGATCCTTGCCACAATCACAAAATAAAACAGTCCCACCCCCTTCCAACAGTCCCTGCGCCTTTTTAGGTCCAGGTTTGCAGCTGTTTTACTCTAACTGCTAGAATCCTTAACCCAGTCTGTGCTGCTGTTTGGCCCTGGCGGGGTTTCTGTTTTTTCTGGGTTGTCTTACAGTGTGCAGACTTCTACGTCTAGCCCTTTTCACTTAGCACAGTGCACTTGACATCAATCTGTGCATCAACCTTGGTTCCTTTCACATTGCTGAGTATTTCCTTTGCACGGCTTTGCAACAGCTTGACTGTCCTCCATCCATCAGTTGAAGGAGATTGAGATCTTTCCCATTGGGATTAATATTAATGAAGCTATAGCATTTATGTAAAATATTTTGCATGTGCATATGCTTAGATTTTAAGACTTCTGGTTTAAGAGATATATTGAAGTTTAGTTCCAGTTGAGTACTTAGAGACTGGAAATCTTCGGGGATCCCTCAATCAGTCGTCAGTCAGGCCCAGACCTGTCAGTTAAACATGAGCTAGTTGTAGCAAGAGGCTGTTATTATTTCCACCAAGGACATTTGTGGAATAAAAATTAAAATTAACTCTCTTTCTCTGAGCCCCTGGGAAGAACTTAAGTACATGATGGCAACCATCAATTTAGTGGGCCTAAGGTTATCCAGGTGGTCACAGTAATATTTCCATGGAGTGTGGTAATTCCCAGTGTAGGTCCCTTGTGTGTGCTGGAAGAACTTTTCAAATCATGGATAACTGCTCTTTAATAGCTAAGGAAGAGTAGAAAGCCTGTAGGCAGATTGTTAACTAACAAACTTCTTCAGAGTCATTTGCTTTGAATAAAGTTGTTTCTCATTAACTTTGGTAATGGGGGATATCCATATTTCTTAGGTAGCGCAGTTATACTGAGATCTTCCTCCTCTTCCTCCTCCTCCCCCCTTTTCCTCCTTTCCTTTCCCCTTCTCCTTCTCCTTCTCCTCATCTTCTTCCTCTTTCTCTTTTGAAATACAGGGGATTGAACCAGTCTTATGCACACTAAGCAAGTGCTCTACTACTATGCCCTATCCCCAGCTCTTTTTTTTTAAAACCCTTTAGTTTGCTATAGAATCTTGCTAAACTACATAGGCTAGCCTTGAACTCACTCTGTAGCCCTGATGGGCCTTGAACTTTTGATCTTGTTTCAATCTTCTGAGCATCTTGAATCACAGACTTGTATCACCATGATAATTCTTAACAGTCATTGCAGATTTTGGGTTTATCACCAACTCAACCTGCTTTCTCTTCGTACTTATAAAAAATACCAGCTATCATTTACAGTCCAAATCAGTCCATATTATGGTTTGGATATGAAGTTTCCCCAAGAAGGGTTTCCAGTCAGTGGTGCTATGAGAGGTGATTGGATCATGAGGTCTCTAACCATATCAATGGACTATGTACATCTAGTTGAAGGAAATAGATTATGGAGTGTGTGTGTGTGCCTTTAAAGTGTGTATCTTATCCTGTTTCTTCTACTTTCTCTCTTTCCTGGCTGTTAAGAACCGAATATCTTTGCACTTCTACAAGCTCTTGTCTAGGATGCTCTGCTTCATCACAGGCCCATGATGATCGTGCCCAGTGACTACAAACTGAAACTTCTCAAATTTTAAGCCCAGATAATCCTTTACTCCTATACATTGGTTTTCTCAGGTACTTTGTCACAGAAGTGGAAAATGAACTGACATGCTCCTGAATCCCATTCAGGCTTTCCCACAGTTTCACCTTATCACCCTAGGGCTTTTGAGTTCTCTAACCTATCAGCACTAAATATTTTCATTCAGCCAGAGTATGCATATTATGTGCAGACCTGGTGTCAAGCCCTTAGAATGCACTAGAGAATTATATGGCCTTGACAATGTATGTTTTTAATATGAATGTGTTCCAATGGTGCCCGGGCTGCAATTTTTTCTGGACAAAATTTCAGGAAGAACTGAGACTAGAGAAGAATGTATAGCTAAAATACAATGCTGTATGTTTATATTAATCTTGGGTTTTACAATTTTAATGGCATGTATAGAGTATTTTGTGATCTGGTCTGTTTAAAAACTTTTATCTTCAATATGGAAATTTGTTTACAGTTTTGAACAACTGCCTTAAAAGATCAGTACTGAACAAAGCCCATGAATAATTTGAGAACTTATATCTATCAATGGCTGACTAACCCAATTGATGGTTTGGAATTTATTAACAGTCATGTTGAGAGGCATTGGATCATGCAATCATCGTTTCACTGGAGTCACCAATGATTGGTGAGATTTTAATGAGATGAACAATAGTAAGAACAATAAAGGCAGTACCAAGAACTAACGTGTCATGAGCACAGTGTTTAAGACAGGGAATGTTGGCGTTGGCCCCATTTGTTTGGGAGGTAAACCATGCCTGGATGCAAGTCTCTCCTCTGACATCTCTACTGAGTATCATTTGCAAGCCACATAATCTAAGTAATGGATCCTTTTCTAAAAATGTGGATAAATGAAAACAAGTACATTTTAAACAATCATTACAATTAGTAACCAGAAATTCATAATGGAGATTACATGGGTTGTTGCAGGTATTTAACTTAGTGTCTAACATATAGCAAATACAAAATAACTAGTGTAGTTATCATAGCTGTAGTGTGTGTGTATGTTGTGTGTGTGTGTGTGTGTGCGTGTGTGTGTGTAGACACACTGAATGAATGTGAAAAGAATTCTGCTTTGATAGGATACTTTTAAATGCTAGAGTTGGGGCTTGGGAGAGATAATCTTAGCTTTTTACAATTGGAGGATGAAAATGAAATATGGAGTAAAGGCTTTAGAAAGTAAGTTTGAATCTTCAAAACCTATGTAAAAGCTAGGCATAGCAGTGCATGTCTGTAATCCCAGTGCTCACACTGGAGGTGGAGGTGGGAGAATTCCTGGAGCTTATTGGCCAGCTATCCCAGCCAAATCGATGAGTTTCAGATT